ATATTTAGTATTATTTTTTAATTACATATATGCATTTATATTTTTGTACATTGTAATGCTTATAATATTATTTATATGTATAATATAAATTAGTAATTATTATGGTATGACGTGTTTGGATGTGCATGTGATAGAATTAAATTTTGATATTGAAGCGAGAAAAAAAACGAACCAAAATTGTTTTATTTTATAGGCTGTAATCAATTTTCGAGGTTTGTATACTTTTAATTTTAACTATGGTTTTATATATTTTTTTTTAATTTATAATATTATTTGTTATTATTTACTATTATTATTATTATAATTATTGAATATTATTTTTTTGAATATACTTCTATATTGTTAGGTATTAAATTTATTCATATATATGTATATATTATATGTATATTTATATATTATTATAAAAATATTTACATTTATATTTAGTGCAAATTTTACTTTTCTAATAAATTCATGCCAAATATATTTACATATTTACAATATTTATTACAAAATGCATTTGTAATATTATTAATAATTTACATATATATATATACAGAACTTTTATAATATAAACACACATAACAATAAAATATATTACATACATTCTTTAACTATAATAATCATACCATGCACATAAGCTAATACATGCGAACTCTACTGAGTGCATAACAAATATTAAAAAAATAAAATAAAATATAAAATAAATAAATAAATAAATAAATAACAAAAAAATTAACAATAAATTATAAAAAAAAATTAATTAGAATTTTATATTTTTTTTTCTTTGTCATAATTTTTTTTTTAAATGTAATTAATTAAAATTATTAAATTTAAATTATAAAAATTTTTTAAAAATAAATTAAAAAAAAATTTTATTTTAAAATAAAATAAAAAAAATTAAGAAAATAAAAATTTTTTTTTTGATAAAAAACTTAAAATATACAGGTGCAATACCAAGGTTACCTGGTGATCTGCCGTATAAACCCACTGCGTGCCAAAGCAACTGGGAGGGGAAGACACATGTGTGAACGCAACTCGCGATTATATTTAATATATATATATTTGTTTTTTTTTTTTTTTTTAATTTTTATATAGCGTTTATATATATAGAGATATTATAATATATATATATATATAATTATGTGTGTAATTAAATTTGATTAAATATTTAGGTCAAATTTGAAAGAGTATATATATATATATATATATAATAATAAAGAAGAAAAAAATAAAAAACATGAACCATGAATAGACCATAAGAAAACAAAAACAAAAATAAAACCAAAAATAATTGTATATAAAACAATTTGTGTTAAAAAAAAATAAAGAACATTTTCAAAATGGCGGATTTTTAATAATTATTATTATTTATGAATAGATAATAAAAATTAAAAACAAAAAAAAATTTTGAGTGAAACACAAAACGTAACAAAAAATAAATAAATTTTTGATAAATTTGATTTGAACTTTTTTGTGATTTTTAATTTGCACATTAAATAAATAAAATTTATGTATATAAAAACTAAAGAAATGTGAACGATATTATTATTTTTTTTTATTTTAGGTTATAAATTTTCTTTTCAAGTGGAGGATTTTTTGCCAAGAAAGTTTAGCTTTATAAATATTTTGTGTGAATTAAGTACAATTAAAAAAAAAAGAAATAAACGAAATAAAAAATAAAAAACTTTGCATATTAAAAAAAAAATTGTCTTTTTTTTTTTTAAATATTAATTTGCATAAAATATTCATATATTAAAATTTTTATAATAATTATAAGATCGGGATGTGTTTTTGCTTTATATTTTTTTTAGAATTATTTAAGACTTTCTTAATTTGTTTTCATAAAAAAAAAATTCTTTTTAATTTTATATTGATTGCTATATATATATATATTGCTTTTATTAATTTGTGCGTTTTTAGTTATTTTTGTTATATTAATACTCTACCTTTAACCTGTAATGAAGCTGTATATTTTGTTTCTGATGCAGGATTACTTGCTACACATGTATAATCACCAGTATGTGATGCCGATAGGGAAGGAATACTAAGGAGTGAGGAATATTGATCTAACATTGTAACATTAGCACCTAAACTTTGTGGTAAAGGTTCACCACCTTTTAACCAACGTAATGTTAACGGTGGATCACCATTTGAAACACCACATACGGTACGCGTTCGCATACCTTCAGCTAATCCATCTTGAAATGTAAATGGCTCTATAACAGGAGGTACTGAAATTATATAGAAGAAACATAAAAACTAAATAAACGGACAAAAAGAAAATTTTCAACAAAATAAATTCATAATTAAAATAAGGAAGAAAAAAAAAAATCGTTATAAATCGATGAAAATTTGGTGAAATTTTTAAGTTTAGGATTATTTCTAGAATTTGTTTTTTTTTCATATTATAATGTTAGAAGATTATTTTATGATCCTCCTTGAATATTTTATTTTTACATTTCGTTGAAAAATTGTACGAAAATTCATTGTTTTTGTTGTTTATGTTGCCATGTAGCATTAAATCGTAGTTACTGGTGATTTTTTGATCGATTTATTCATGTGTTTTTTTTATTATTATTTTTGTGTATTTCTCGAATAAACATAGAAACGGACGATCATGTTCGGCATATTTTCCTTAATAAATCACTTTGTTTTCAAAATTTTTATTTCTTTCGTTGTTTTCTTTATGTTTTTTTTTTTGTTTTTGCATTTGGGTTAGTTGGCGTTCACTTTTACATACGTTGTTTGGCATATCAATAATGATAATAATAATATAAACATAATTATTAAATAATTTCTTTATTATTATAATTACATGTTTTTTTTTTCAAAATTAAAACAAAAATTTAAAATAATTCATATTATTTTGAAATGAAACTTAAAGAAAAAAGTAAAAATAAGATGAAAATGAAAAAAGAAAAAAATTATAAAAAAAAGACTCTTAAAAAATTCGGTCATCAAATTTTTTAACATGCTGTAAAATAATACTATGTTGTCATATTTTTTCTTGTCATTAAATTCAAAATGTCAGTTTAAATGTCATTTACAAGTTCAATTTAAATGAAGTACTTTTTTTTAATGTTTTTAAATACAACAATGAAATGATAATTTTTTTTATCTGTATGAATATTTTTAAGTTAGTAGAGTTCGGATAAGCTTACACAATTATGGACTTGTACACAAATTTCCGATATGTGTATGTAATGTTTTTTCGTTCTACTTCATTATTTATACCTGCATTCGAATTAATGAGGTTAAATTCATAATTTTTTTTAAAAACAGTTATCCGAATTCTACATTTTTATTATTAAATAACCTATACTAAAATAATTACAATTTTAATGAAATATAATATTAAGAAATGAAGAACTTTTTTTTATAATAAACTGGCATTTTTACTCTTTTTTTCCGGATTTAAAATGAATATTTTCAGTACGAAAAATAAGAATTCAAAAAATATATTTTGTGAAGAGAAAAAAAGTATTTCGTTTACAGACTAAAATCGTGTGGAAAGATGAAAAATGATAGAATTGAATCAGGTATACTATAGGCATTATCAGGTATAGGTATAGAATCAGGCATTTTCACGCAATATTCAATGTTAAAATTTGACTTAACAATGTTGATATCAATGTTTAAATCAAAAAACCATAATTGAATTGAGAAGAATCCCATCACATCATATGATGTGCAATATAGGGGTGATTAATAACAAGAGCAGTTTCATAAAAAAAAAAAAAAATAATTTTATATGTTATGAGGTTCAATATGACTGCTCTATAGACTCAAAATAATTAAAGTAAAATTATTTTCATTTTTAAAAACCTTTCTTATATATTTTGAAAATTTTGATTGTTACAAAAATAATTGAGATCAATATAAAAAAAAAATAAAAATATGAAAATAAATTATTTATTAAAAAAACAAAAAATAAATCACATTCCTTTCATAAAATTTAATATTTATAAAAAATAAAGAACATAACTCCTGTTTAATATATTTCTGATTAATTATACAAACATAATAAACGTTTTCTTTTGTTTTTCATATTTACTTTACAAAGGAAATTTATTTTTAATTTACTTAAGTATGGAATTGGAAAATAAAAAAAAATTTTTTAAAGAAAAACAAAAATTTCAAGAAAAATGTCAATATTTTCTTTGAAATTTTTTTTTTAATAATATGAGAAAAAAAAAGTTAAATTTTTTTTTATATTTTCTCAAAAATGAAAATGAAAAAAATAATTACAGTTAAAAGTATTGAGTCTCAAAAGAAAAAAAACTTTAATACATTAAAATTGAAAAAATCTAGTATTTTTTCAATATAATTTTAATTTTAATTGTATAATAAAAATCTTAAAAATACAGAGAAAAAAATATAAACTTATGCTCTAGTATTGTCTTTTTTTTATTGTATTTTTTTTAAATTTTTAATTAAATGTAGAAATTAAAAAAAAAAATGAAAATGAAAAATCAAATGTTCAATATGAAACTTTCATCTAAAAATTTTACAATTTATATGAACGACCAAAAAAAAAAAATTCTTATAAAATTTAATTTTTAATATTTAACAAAAACAAAAAAAAAAATTTATTAATTTTACAAAATAAAATATTTAAAATTTTTATTTTTTCTAAATAGAATCACGAAAATTAATGAATTAATGAACAGGAAAAAACTAAAAAAATAAAATTCAAATAGAATTTTAACTATCTAAAAATTTATTTAATATAAGAGTATAAGGATATAGAAAACAAAAAAAAAAAAACAGGAAATTTTTTTTTTCTCTCTAAGAAATTAAAATACAGAAATTCGAGACAACTATAATGTTATGTAATATTATTAATTTTTTCTCAACTATATAATTAAATTTTTTTTTTTTTGTTTTAAAGGATACTCATTATTTTTATATAAAATATCCTTTTTTTTAAACGATAATAAAATAATATAAAAGAAAAATTAATAAAAAAAAAAAATTTTTTTTTCTTTTTATAAATTTTGTTTTTTAATGGTGGTTACCATTGACCAATAACGACTGCGTATTTTCCACTTCAGCAGCCGAATTTTTAACAACACATGAATAATTTCCGGTATGATCAGATCCCAAATTTTCAATAACCAATATACTATTATATTGATCAACTTGTTTAACTGACATATGTAATGATGGATCTATTGGACGAATATCTTTACGCCAACTAATTGTTAATGGTAAATCACCTTTTACAACCGAACATGTTAATGAGGCACGATCACCCATATTTAATTGTAGTACAGATGTTTGAAATGGACTTAATTTTGGTGGTACTGTAAAAATTTTTTTTGATATTTGTTTTTTTTTTTTTAATTTTTATTTTTAATATTATATATATATATATGTACAATAAATAAAAAAGGAGAAGAAGAAGAAGAAGAAGAAAAAGGAGATTAAAAAATGTGATTTAATTTCATATTTTTTGTTTTCCTTTTATTATTATTATTATTATTTTGTATACATTTTATGTAAATTTTATTAAGATATTTCATTATTATTTTTAAAAATTCAATTTATTTATTTGAAAATATTTGATGCAATGAAAAATAACTAAAGAAATAACATTTATGCAAAAAATTCAAATAAGAAATTTAGGATTTTTGAAACAAGAAGTTGGAAAATTTTTAATAATACATTGTATGCATTTGATGCACTCTAAAGAATTTTTGAAACACGGTAATTGATCATTTCGAAATACATACAAATAAATTTCATCAAAATGATTTTAAAAACCTTCTTAAAATTTTGAATTAAATCTTTGTCATTTTTTAACTTTGGTGTAACAACATACGAGTATGTAGTGATAATTCATTTTAAGCACTTTTCCAAAAAAAAAAGTGAAAGAATTATTTTCACTCCGTTAGTCTGTCAGAGTGCAAAATTGTTCATCCTAAATGTATGCAATTTTTGAAATATATGTGTATTCGTACATGAATGAAAGTAATTTTAATAATGTTACTTATTGAAAAGAAAAGTGCTACCACATAGATTTCGAGAAAAGTTGTTTAATTGTTTTTACTTTTGGTTTTATTATACTGCACCGAATATTTCAATATAATTGTATAAATATATTATAATAATATATATTATACAACAATATTTAATTATATTGTTATATAAACACATAAAAATGTAATATATTTACAAAGAACTTAAATTCATTTTATTGAAAATTGTAGTCCCATATTGAAATATATATATATATATGTATATGTATGTATTTTCAAATTTTAATTATAATTATATGTATGTGCATAACAGACGCACATGTAGATTTTTATATTATATAATATATATTTTTTTATTTATATATACATATATTCTCTTATTATAAAATATATTTCACCTAGAAATTTAATAAAAAGAAATCATTTTAAAATAAAAAAAAATCTTATAAATTTATTTAGTATTTTATAACATTTTAAAATGATTAATTAAATTTATATAAATAATTAAACTTAATTCAGGTATATATAAAATTATAACTTAATAAAGAAAATACTACTTTTATAAATTAAATTTTTATTAATAAAAATTTTATAAAAATTGTTCTGATATTAGTAAGAGTACAACAAGCATGAATTGTTCAAATTCATGTATAGTTTCCGTATTGATTTCCTTCTTTTTCCTAAAATAATTTATTGTAGATTCCTTTGAAAGAATTTTTGTTAGTAATTTTATTGTTTTGTTCAACTAAACTTAAATATAATTTTATAATAAGTTATGTAATGATAATTATAATAAACAAAGCTGATCTGATCTGAGATAATATAAAATCTTAACTTGATTTCGATGTACTTAGCGACATCTCACCAAAAAATGTTTCGATTTTGTATCTCCATATGGTTTCTGGTTATATTTTAAACATATGTAATGTCATAGCGTATTTGTGTTTGGTGGTGTAACCACATTAAGGCTTTTGTACGATAATGACTTAAAATTCAAATAGAAATTTAAAAAAGTACAAAATAGGATCTTTTGTTATAATTCTCAATCGCAAATCAAAGAATCTACCTGATCAAATTTACTAATAGAAAGCGAATTAAGTTTATCCATATCATAAAATTTATCTTTAAAGGCTCCTAAATTGCAACATTCTTTTGTATTAAATTATTTTTATACTTAGCACACACCAATTCTTATAAGCTGTAGAAAACGCCAATTTTATATTCTAAGTATTTTTTTCATATGTTAAATGTGATACAGATATAAAAATTGTTTGATAAAACCCGAAAAAAAAAATAAAAAAAAAATAAATTTAATAAATTCAAACTCATGATTGCTTTCAAATAAAATTCATATTTTTCAATTTGGTTACCCAATTGTTCTATTTATTGAGGATTTTTTTTTGTTTAATTATTCTACAAATGGAAACCAATATAAATTAAGTTTCTATGGATAAAACTAAATATAAATATATACGTATATGTTTTATGCAAAAAAAAGAATTAACCCTTAACGAGTCAACTTCTATAAATAACGTAATAAATTTTAACAAATAGCATAATTTTATATACTTCAGTATTGCAACTGTCTAGTTTTAACAATAGTCGAGAAACTCACTATCCTTGAATACTTGAATTTGTCACGATTTTATTCATTTTAACAATTTTTAAGTGGTTTTTAGAACAAAATTTTGGTTTTCCCAACAACACTCATTTTTTGGTAAATTTTTGAGTGATTTTCTTTAGTGTATAACTTTTTTTTTACATAACTTGCAGATTTTAACATGCTATTTAGAACATAAGGGTGAGTCTCAATCCATTTTGAATTGATGTGAAACGGAGTTTAAATTTCTACGTAATGCAGTGATAATAATTTCATGAACACCAGCGTACAATTATATTTATGCTTAATTCTAATTTTGGAACTACAAGCAAAAGTAGCTTACCAAATTTTGTGCCTTAAAATTAAAATATCAATAAATTGAATTTGAATTTTTGAGGGTTAATACAAAAGTTTCTTTAATATTGATTATTAATGTACAGAAAAGTTTTGTTTCTATTGTGAATTTTAATTTGGGTAAAGAATTAAATAAAATCAACGTGAAACTTGAGCTATTACAAAATATCACGTAAAATTTAATGAAATTTTTTTAAATTGAAAATTCCTAATAAATTTGCACGTTTATATTATAATATATAAATTTTTTATTTTTCAAAAATTCTTAATTTTTCAGATTAAAAGAGGGTTAAAGGAGAAACTTATATTAATATATTTAGAAATTAATAAAAATGTTTTCTCATATTGCTTTATGAAACATAAATTCTAATTGCAAAAACTAAAAGAATTAATTAGATTCCCGAATTGCAGTAAAAAAATGTGATTTCAAAAACAATTAAATTTGAGAAAAAAATGATTGTGAAAACAATTATTATATTTTTTTTTTGTATCAAGGTTCTTGTTGGTAACAGCAATTTTTGTTAAAATGATTAAACAAGTGAAATAATTTGGTGAAAGTCATGAAGAAATTCAAAGTCTCATGTTATAAGGTATTTGAAATTTAAAAATTTTTTTTTTATTCCTACTGCTTCTGGGAGGATCATTTGTAGATAACCATGAACGCCAGTTTCTTACGTGATTGAGTTTACCAGGTAGGTGACGACCCCACCCTAGTTTTATTTTAGATATTTAAAGGTTATTGATATTTACTATTTTATTTTGCTGGCATTTTTAATATTGAATATTATTGAAATATGGCAATTAGTTGATATGTATAATATGTATAACATAATGTGTATATAATATTGAATATAATTTTTATAGTGACCTGTCTGAGCTTTCAACCCGAGACCCTTCTGTTAAAGGACCAGTGCAATAGCCACTGCACTATTGGTCAGGTCATTGGATTTTAAAATGAATGTTGATTATTAGAAGAAATTAAACGTATGTATTAGGAAAATTCCAAATTGTGATTAAGCGAATGAAAAATTTTCAGTTTTTGTAACAGCAACTTTCCAATGTTTTTTACAGAGTTGCCATGAATAATTATAAGTGAAAAATTGATAATGATAATGAGAAAATTTTTTTCTAGTTTAAACTGATCAAATTTTGATTGATTTAAAATAAGAACATCGAATTTTTTTTAAATTTGAGTCAATTTTTTGTATGGGAAATAAAATTTAGGGCAATGCGAGGAATGAAATAGAAATGTACTTTGTTAAGGTGTACTTGTTCAATCAAATTACGTATAAGATATTTAAAATTAAGTGAATTAATTTAAATTTTTCTTTCATTAATTTCAAAAGCAAAATTCAAGAAAATTGTCGGTATTATCAATAATCCTAACATAATGTAGTGAATTTCTATAATATATAGAACCCACATAACTTTAGCATGTGCTTTAATTTACATAAATGTTTAATTTCTTTTGGCTAATAAAATAATAAACTTAATAAATTTTTAATAAACTTAATAAATTTAAATTAAATTGTTTTAAATTTTCAGCAAATTTTTTATATCACAACTGAATTTGACTCATACTAATATTGAGATGGTAATAAAATATTTTAATTATTAATAAAAAATGAAGTGAAATTTGCTTTTATTTTATATATTCTGAAAATATTCAATTTATATTAAAGGAGAAAAAAACAAAGCTCAAAATATATTAAAAAAAGATATTTTTTTTGTGTTTGTTTCTAAATAAAAACAGAAGGAATATGAAAAAGGATTTGTTTTTTTGTTGAATCATAATTAATTAAACCAGTGCGAACGAATGTTCGAGGCATATTATAAATTTACCACTCTGTTTGTGACGAAACAGATGTCGGAGATATTAACATAAGTATATGTTTCTGATCACCACCGAATTTTAAGTTGGTTTACCTCTGTACATTCTGTATATTTGCCCATCCGTCCGTTTATTTATGCGTCTGGCTGCCCAGCCGTCTCAGCAATAATTGCAGAACTCATTAAGTAGACTAGGCCAGCCAAATTTTCAATAACTATCAAAATTTTTCAACCGCGTTCATAATTTTTGATCATGATTTGATTTGGGCTCAATCAAAAAAATGGTTTGCGCAGCTGCCATTTAACTCTAAAAATTATTTGGTCATATTTCGGAAACTATAAAGCTTTTTGTATTTGAACATTTTGTAAACGAGTGTATTTATAGCAGCGTTACTTTAATAATAAATTTTTTTATGCAATAATTAGTGGCTGTACGAGTTCTTATAATAGGTGCTACACAAATTCAAAAATAAAAATTGTATCAAATCCATTCAAGTTACAACAGGTACGCAAATCATGGACGACCAAGTTTAGTAATAGG